GAAGCAGAAGGAACGCCCATGAGACCGGACAGCTGATGGAGTGTATAGAAAAAGCCATTTGCCATCTGTTCTGTAGTCTTCGGAAAAGACCAGAAATCATCGATTGCGAAAAAAGAGCTCTGCTGAATTTTGAGTGCCCCATATTTCTGTTGCTGACGTTTGTTATGCAAAGACCGCCGAAGGACTAGTTCCAAGAGCGTAACAGCAGAAGTTCTCGACTGGTATACCCATAGTCTTCCAGTTGAAAGCTCCAGCCAATGTTCTGTTCGTGTTTCACCTTCCAGATGAGCGTGGTGATACGGTGGTCGCAGTTCAACAGTTGAGGGGTCTACCCTCAACCTTGACATAGCAAGCACCTCCATGTTACTGTAACCGCGGCAGCTTCTGCATTTCGAAAAGTTTTCCTTTTCAGGATGCCTTGCCAACCGCGGAGCCTCCTTACTCCTCCCTTGTTTCTTCCTCCTTCTTTCTTTTCTTCCCTTCCATCACTCTTCCCTCCTCCATTTCCTTCTTCCTACAAATGCTCGAGTAATAGTTGCGATCAGAAAATACTTCTGAATCCCTGCATCAGAGAATGTTTGGTTGACAGAAGCCCTGTAATCCAAAGTTTTCAGCAAATGGAAGAGCTCACCTTTCTTCCCACCATGTACACACGAATATCGTTCTGATTTTTCTCTTTCTTCGTTTTCCTCAATTTCGATTCCTCAGCGCTAACTTTTTCGGTTTTCTTCTAAAAACCCTAGTGCAATTATATCAAACGGCAGAGGGGTTCAAGAATCAAAATTGTCAATTACTTCTTACCAACCTTTGATTTTTCGTGCTCTTTCAGTTTCATTCTCATGTATTCGTAAACATCGACAGCCGGACTGACATTTTCCGATGGCGTTGGGCCAGATTCCGCGCTGGATTCTGTTACCTCAGTGTCTGTGTTTTTCGATGGGGAGACACTGTGTACACCATTACGTGACTTTGACGACTTTGACGATTTGTGTTCTTTGGAATAATTTATGAGTCCTCTGAGAAGTTTTCTGCTCTTCGTCGGCTTTTGTTCCAGCATTTTCAATAGGGCAGCGATCCACTAAAAATTAGTTCCGTTATTATGGAGATACAGAAGTCCGAACATTGATCAGCAAGTACGTCACGGCAATGAAGGAGCGGCAGGTCAGAAAGGATTCAGAGGAGCGCAGGTCAGAAAGGATTCAGAACTGGAAACGGGAAACCCTCTTCCTGCTCGGTCCACTTACCTTTGAAGCTTTTTCTCCCGAGGCTTAGATAAAAGTCCTGAACCTGTAGTACTCCCCACTTT